TCCCAGGCTGTTCCTGAACTTTTCAGGAAAGGTGAAACTATTCTTTCTGGACCTTAGAAAATGCTCCACTGACTGGGAAACAGCTGTTTGAATCATGACAAGTATCAGTACTTGTTCCATATGTACAATTCTTAATAATTAAAAGCGATCACATAAACACTATGTGTGTGATCACATAAACACTATGTGTGATCACATTCACACTATGAAGAACTGAGATAAGATGGTCTGAATTGTCCTTAGTTTTGAGTAAGGTATCTGTATTTTAAGAAAGAATGAAAATCAAAGTCTATGATAGACACAATGCTCTTACTTATGCCCTACAAAGACATCTTGTCTCTGATTCCTTTTGTTCTGATCAGTGACTCCCATGTAACTTCAACTCCCTCCCCATCAAATACTTGTATTGAATGCAACTGCAGGCACACACAGGATAGTAAGACAAGCACCTCTTCCCAGCTAGCACACTCCCTCCAACAGGAAGTTCCAACTCTGAGCAGTGCCCCATTGACAGAGTAATACAGAATTCTTTCCCACAAGCTTGAAATTACTTTAGCAAGTAGTTGTTCTCCAATCAGTGGGAGTAGAATGAAGGGTTAAAGTCAAAATTCCTCAAGATGTGGGGACCTACCTTTTGCATTACCCTGGACATCCAAAAGTGCACAATGAAATCTATGCTCTAAACAGAATAGATTAAAAGATGGCTGCTGCTTTCCACCAGTATTCAGACAGTATTATTAATCAGTGAAAATATAAGTTCTTTGGTTGACTCAAAATCAAATGTCCTTTCACTTGGTCTAATCATTTCCTGATGTAATGACCTCACAGGTATCACAAGTATTCTTAAATACAGCCATGTATGGGCCTCCCTGGTGGTGCAAGGGGTTAAGTCTCAGCACTATGAAGCTATCTGCAGCCACTGCAGCCTGAGGTCAATCCCTGGCCAGGGAGTTGACCCACATGGTGCAGCAGACCTCTTTCTGTCTTGCCTACTGCTCCCTCAGCAGTGTATTTCAGTAGATCTGCCTGTTCTGTTCCCCACTCTGTCTCTGCTGAGTTCTTCAACCACCCCCTGTTACCCCAGCTCTTTTATGCATAAATAAATCTTTAAAAAATACAGCTATGTATGTTATCATCCAACTAAGTCTGTTGTTTTCCAATAAGCAAAGATGCTCTATATACTGGAATATCACAGAATGCCATAAGAGAAAAGAAGTTCTAGTCACAGAATAAAAACTAAAGGTCATCTACTATTTGCACTGCATTAAGCACTCATAAATCCACTACTTAAGACCATCTAGAATGAGTGGATTTGTATTGTGGCTTTCAAGGTCTATGAATTACACAGTCATCAATAAAGGACAAAGAAAGAACACAGAAGAAATCTTACAAGCTTTCTTCTCTCTGTTCATTGCAAGGTGGGTGGGAGACAGGACTGTGTTCTGTTCTTGACAACATTTCCCCAATGAGAATTAAGCCCAGGGTGCTAAAATTATTTCATTGTCTTTTTAGGTAATGGACTCATTAATTCTCAGGGATATTGATTAGTGGTAAAAAATACATTACATCCTAATTAATGAGACTGTCATAGTAAAAGGGGAAATGTTGCATAAAGTTAATTTGATTTTATAAATGATTTTATAATGAAATGATTTTAGATGAAGTTTAAGACAATCTAGTGTATTTACAAAGCTCAATATGGAAAGCAGGTCTGTTTGGTAATGCTATAAATCTTGGGGGAAAAAAAAACACAAAAGTTCCTGGTGAAAAGTAGGTAAAGGATGGGCTCTTTCATAAAGAAAAATTTCTCTCTTAATGCAAAATAGTTTAAAAATCAAAGAAAATTATGCTGTACTGAAAGATTAAAATAAACATACTCATTCCTACGGGATACAAAGGCCTGGAGGGAGAGAGCATGCAGGAGCCTGGATCTTAAGATTCAAACTATGGTCTGGCTCTTTAGACAGTCAATATTTCTTTTATAATGCTGAATTTCTAGCTGTTCCTTTTTTTAGGAACTCTACTTTGGTAACAATATTTGTTACTTTACATACATAATATAAAGGATCTGCTAATGTTTTATCAAGCCATGTAAATACTTTTAAGACACTTCAGGCGCCATAAATCAATATAAAATCAGCAGAAATACAGAATACTGTACTTACCTGGGGCAATGAACTGTTTAACACTGGTGAATCTAGACTTATCAGCTACATTAGCCATAAAACAGCCTTTTGGAACGGTCCAGTCATTAGGCTTGCTGTTTTTGTCCCTGTCGTCAGCTGTTTCATATACCTCTATGTGAGGGGGTTTCTCAGTTAGATTCTTGCTGTAATGACTTAACCCATACTGTGCAATCTGGATTGGGTAGAAATAGCCTTGAGGTCCCCATTGTGTAGATAAAGGTACACCTATAAAATAAAGAAACAAAAGAAATAACAATGTCCAGACACTTACGAACCTATTCTGAATATTATTCTTGTTTTATTTCTGGGGCATGCTAATAGAGCTAAGAGCAATTTTTTAGCTTCCTTATTATACAGTTTTCTTGATGACTAAAAATAGTACCAAATTAACCAAATATGAAAAACAAGACAAAGTGTTCATTAGCTCTCATTATTTGTAGATAGGTAACAGTGCAGTATTATAAATGACCTTTAAAGGAATTTTGATGTATGTCATTTTTGCTTATAGCTATAGATGTCAAGTTTTATAATCCTGTTTCATACAGTTTATTTTTACATCATTTTGTGCATTTTCCCATCTCAGTTGTTCTAAGAAAACTTTTAAATAGTATTTATTGCTACAATCATTATTGTCATAACTTCCCATGTGGAAAATAGAGTAATATCAAATTGCACAGATTCATCATGATGTATGGGTTGAGAGAGAAACTCTTCTCTGTAGTTCCAAAGTAAACATCAGATGGGTTCAGCAGAAAAGGGGACCTACAGAATCTTACATGTTTTGATGTAGATTCAAAAGTTTAAGGAATTAAGGATGATAAGAGGTTAAGAAACCTAGGCTATGGATAAGTCCTTTAACTTCTGTAGTCTTTCTCTAATGAGGGGGTCGGGAAGGGGGGAATGTTTTAAAAATTCAAATAGAATTATTTTCATAATAAAAAGAAAATATGTATAACCTCACTAAAGGTGAGTGGTGACTACAATAATGGGTAACTGGCTTAAGAACTGAAAAGTGATCAGAACAGTAGGAGAGAAACTACTTAGTACTCAAAATAATTTATGATGATGATAAAGACTGAATCATGAATCAATGGGGAAAAGAAGAACATTTCAATACATGTCAGGGAAAAGAAATCTAAACTCAAACCCTGACCTTATACCATTTGCCAAAATATAAATCAATTTAGTTGGACTAAAAAGTCAAATGTTAAGAAAACCAAAATCATAAAACTATTAAAAAATCCATAAGTTTAGTAAACAAAACCAAAAACTTGTAAAACTAACAAAAAGTAAAGTCAACCAAGTGAAGAAATTACCTTTAACAACATGTAAAATGTTGCTATTCTCACTATATGTTCACACAAATATATTTTTACAAACATTACAAAGACGGGGAAAGAACACGGTTAAAGGCATATGACAAATCATTGACTGCCACAGAAAGCAAATCATAAGATATCTTTATAAAAAAACCATTAAAAAAATAATGTACCATGTTAGTAAGTTAGGTGGTAACAGCATCCTTATACGGTGCTACTGGTTGCACAAGTAAGTACAACCTTTTTGGAAAGATCAGTTTATGTTATTTGAATAGATAATTTGTATCCTAGGAAAACCCTCTGAGGATATAATCAAATAACAAATGATTAATCATGAACATCTATACCACTAGGTAATATTCGACGAAAAAAGGAGACAACGCAACTGGCTATACAGCATGATCCCAATTTGTTTAAAATTTGTATTTGCAAGAAGAAAAGTTGGTTTTCACATGGTTTTGGGTGCTTTTTACCTGTCCTTTAGTCTTAAGCACCTATTAATTTCATACATTTAAAAAGTACTTTAAGAAAGGTGCTCAATAGTAGATATCTTTGAAGTCTAAAACACCAATACTCTCCTGAACACTAATAAAAATAATAAGGACAAAACATGCCTATGTACAAAGATCATTAGAGAATACAAAAAATTATAATAGTTATCTTGAAGTGGTAAGAATGTTAGTACAACTTCTCCCTTCCAAAATAGTGGTAAAGATATTATGAAACATTGAACCAATTTTATAATAAAATGAACAAAGTAAAATAACACCTAAACCAAACTGTTTCAAACACATCATTAATTTTCCACATTTAAGTGAGGGACTTTAAAGTCAAAATAAATTTGGCTTTCTGATCAACCCTAGGTTTCAAACACATATTCCAAAATGTACTAACTGAAAGACAGTATGTAACAGACTAGAGGGGTTCAGTGCAGGGTCAGACAAAATGGTGTCTGTGGCCCGTTTTGTCCCTCTGGCGATGACACCAGGCTAGTCTATAACAAGACTGCACAGGAACATGGGTGGGTCCCCTGGTGACCTACGTCCATTTCACATGCTCTCTCACAGGTCATCACTGTTTATTTCATGCAACATTTCTGGAGATACTATGCCTTGACTTTACTGGAGGGGATTTTAGATTCTGGAGCAGGTTAATGGAATAATCTTACTTGATGAGATATGATTTTACTGAAGTCTAAAATCCTCTCATCTAGAAAGTTGCCCTAGTTCAGACTTAACAAAAGGTGTCTTGACAGTAAGTGATGTATATACTTGCTGTATAATTAACACCTGTGGGGATATCCTTATTCCTCAACAGAGACTAGAAAAATGCAGTGGCAGACTAGAAAAATGCAAAACAAAAAGATACCAACCTTCAACCCCACTTATGCACTTGACTCTGTCTCGGACTTCCACATTGTAGCCTTCAAAGGACATAAACACACCATCAGGGTGATAAGGAGCTCTCTGTGCATAGACTTTGGAATAGCTATGAGAGAATTCAAACCTCTCATAGCCATCATACTGAACCACCTTTCCATAAACGTCAAAATATTTCTCTATCCAAGTGAATGGAAGAAAGACTTCATTCCCCTCTCGTCTCGCTTTTATTGTGTGATCGTCATTTATGAGACAGTCAATTTCTTCATATTTGAGCCCCAACACCTTGCTTCCCCCATTGCTATTGAAGCCCCCTACAACTGGAGGTGCTTTCTGCTGTTCCTGAGGAAATGCCTCCTCAGCCTGTTGCTTGCCCATGTGGTTCACATAGTTGTTACTCTCAGATGCTGCTGCTCTTTTTTCTAATCCATCCACTCTGAAACCACTACTGTGGCGTGAAAACTGGATCGCTTTGTCACTGGAACACTTATTCCACAAAAGTACTGTGACCAAAGTGAAGAGTGCGCAGATGATAATCAAAGTTTTATAGTTGACCCGAGCTGCCAAGCAACGCATATTCAGACCATACCTGTGGAGGCAAGAATAGAAATTCATGCAAAGATGTACTACTGACATTTCGCAGATTAAGGTTTGCTTTCTTTTTTTACGATGAACAACTATAATGGGCAAGTTCATTAATTGCATGCAATCTGATGACATTTAAATTTACTAACTCAAACTTTTCAACACAAACCAAAAAAAGGTAAGAGGAGCTTTTTCTTAAAATGCCCAGCATAATCCTTCAAAGCAGAGATTCCTGAAACTCTTTTGTATATGGCTCTCCTGGCATCTAAACAATTATTTCGTAACTTCCTAAGTCAAAAGGAACATCTAAGAGTTCCATGTATTAAACAGTTGAACTCAAACAATTTGATATGTATTTCTATCCTAGTAACATAGAAGCTATTTGCAATACAGGTCAAGGTAAACACAAACATCCATGTTTCCAAATTCAGTAGTGAACATTCATGCTCTCACCCTATTTGACCTCTCAGCATATAAAATAGTCAATCCCTCTTTCCCTTTTGATAAACTTTCTCCCATGGCTTCTAGGATACCATTCTCTCTTGGTTCTCCTCACAAGTAACTGGCTGCTGCTTCTTAGATATCTTTGATCTTTTCTTCTCATCTCACTGAACTTTAAATGCTGGAATACTTCACAGTCCCAGTTCTCAAACCACTTCTTCATCCCCTTTTACTTGACTGCATTATTTGTATTGAGGTAACTGTGGTTTACAGAACTATAAGGATTACAGGCTCACTCCTCTTCAAGTGTATGTTATCACCCCAGGTCCACAACTAAAGCACCTCTAACCCTCCACCTCAGTCCATCGTGACTCCTTACCTTCTGTCCCTCCTGCCCCCTTTCTGATAGCTAAACCATGTAGACAGATTTCAAAGATTGTTTTGTTTGCTCAGATCTCTATCCACTCCTGGATGAGTTCACCCAATCTCAGTTTTAAATACAGTTTATAAGTTGACTATTCCCAAAATTCTACCTCCAGGCCAGAACTTTTTTTTTAAACTGCAGACACAGACGTGCCAAGTGGCAATCCAAGTAATTGACATTTTTACTTTGTAGTTCAAAGAGACTTCTGAAACACTAACATCCTAAATGTAACTCTGAATCTTTCCCTTCAACTTAGCTTTCCTTTTCTACTGATGAAACCAAGTATTTTGTTTCTTGATACTTGATATTCGATAGCCAGTCAGTCAGGAAATCCTGTTGGCTCTACCATCAAATTATGCCAATCTCTTTTTACCAACTTTACTATTACCACCACGCCAGAGCCACTCTTATCTTTCACTTGGAATACTGAATGATGTCTGAACAGGTCACCCTGCTTCTACTCTTGCTCTACTGTTCTATCCCCAAGTGTGTCTATCAGTCAGAATGATGTTTTTAAATGTAAGCCTGATCAAGTCATCTTAATAATTTGGATGGAATTTTTTAAAAGGTTTATTTTTATTTTTGCATACAGAACTGAGGTACAGGCCAGAGGTGCAGAGATGGTGAAGAGGATTCACCAGAGACAGAGTGAGGAGCAGAACAGGCCAATGACAAAGCACACTGCTGAGAGGAGCAGTGGGCGGGTCAGGAGAGGTCTGCCATGCCATGTGGGTCACCTCCGGGACATGCAGGGATTGAACTCATGCTGAAGTGGCTTTAGCTTCTTAGAGCTGTGCTTTAACCCGCTGCGCCACCAAGGAGGGCCCAGGAGAAGAATTTGATGGTGTTGCCATATGAGCCATATGGTAAACTAGTCAGGACTGCAGTAAAAGTAGTCAGGCTACCTGTTGCCGAGGATATTGGGAAGTACAGGAAATTATGGGCAAATTGCTTGTATATGCAATATATGAAGTAGCTCAGTCTGCTGGTTAATGGAGTTCTATTATTGCTGTCTGTTACAGCAGTAGCTTTGTAAATTACTGTATGGGGTAAATCTGTAACTACTTATTTTAGTCATGGTAATCCTCCTTCTTGGTTCCCGCCCGGCCCCCCCCCCCCAAAAATCCTTTGGCAGTAATGAGGTAAAAAAAAAAAATCAACTCTCAAAATGAAATGACATGTTTAGTGCAAAACAACACAATGGAATTTGCTTTTGAAGAAAGTTGAGGATGAATGCGTAATTCACTTGTTTCTTTCAACTGCAAGAGATTTTAATGACTGAAAATACCTTTATTTGGCTCTCACTTTTGATTAAATTTGGCATGCTAAAGAACCCTTGATTGCATGTTATTTTCTTTTAAAATGTTGTAGGTCAGTATTTTACTGTCTTAAAGCACTGGAGGTAACTGATGAGTGGTTTGATTTCAGTTAGATATTTGTCACTTTCTACATGACTTTTCTCTGGATCTTTTGTTTATCCTAGAATTCTGCAGTTTGTGAGGATGCATTACAGTATACTTGATTTACTGTTTCTTCACTAGGTGTGACCCCTCAACCTGAAAGCCTTTTTTATATTATTGCTTAATAGAAATACTTTCCTACAACTCTGAGTATATTGGGAAAAAACAAGAACTGGGCTACAGGACAGAGGTGTGGGGGTGGTGAGAGGGGTCACCAGAGACAGAGTGGGGGGCAAAACAGATAGATGTACTGAAATACACTGTTGAGGGGAGCAGCGAGCAGGACAGGAAAGGTCTTCCATGCCAAGGAGGGCACCTCCCTGGCTGGGAACTGAGCTAGTGGCTACAGATAGCTTCATAGCAGGTTGCTTTAACCTGCTGCATCACCAGGGACAGCCCTTTTCTGGTTATTTTAGGCCTTCTTTCATATCTTATCAGTTTTTCTCTCATTCCTGGTGGGCTTTGGTTACTAATTCATATTTAAAACAGAATGACTCATTAGCCAACACAAATCTTCTCTGTTATTGCGCAGCTGGTCTGTTTTCTGGTTAGACTGCTCTCCTGAGGTGGCGGTGTGAGTTGGATACAGGCTGACAAGCATCATTCTTTTAGGAGTATGGGTGGGAAGCAGCAATCCTAAATGTCAGAAAGAAGATGGCTTTTTCTTGTTGTTATTCAAGGGATATAACTTGTATTTAAAAGTATTTGCCTTTCCTGACTTTTCTAAAGAAAGTCTAGTGCTTTGCCTGGGGCTCACTCAAGCTGTCAGCAGTGCACATGCAGTAGAGTGGGAGAAGTCTAAGGAGGTGAGGGGAGAGTGCAGCTGTGTCTTCTGGTACTCAACAGAGATCCAGAAATGCATCCATTATCACTCTTTGGTATTCTTCTATTTATTACTTCTATCCATATTATTAATGGGGCATCAGAAGAGGAAGCTAGAAAAGATAAGGATTTAGTCTATCTTGGAAATTATAGACAGATTTTTAACAGCTGAATATCTAGTAACATATTTTATCATCTGCATTATTACCATGAGAAAATGTGCTGAAGAGATTAAAAACCAAAGTGGGTTACAGGCAAATCTTCAGAAACCATACATTTATGAACCGAGGATTTCCTAATATTGTAATGTAGGCAAACTTAACACCAAATGGTGTTTATATTTAAAAATGCTTCATTAAAAACATCTATGTGCAGGGCCCTCCTTGGTGGCGCAATGGGTTAAAGCACAGCACTATGAAGCTATTGAAGCCACTGCAACATAAGTTCAATCAATCCTTGGTCAGGCAGGTAATCCACATGGTGTGGCATACCTTACCTGACCTGCCAGCTGCTCCCCTCAGCAATGTATTTTAGTAGATCGGCTTGTTTTGCTCCCCACTCTGTCTCTGGTGAATCCTCTCATCCCCACCCCACCCCATCCCCACCACACCTCTGGCCTGTACCCCAGTTCTGTATGCATAAATAAAAAATCTTAAAAAAAAAATCTATGTGTAACATTAGACTTATCTGTCAGCTGTACCCAACATTTAAATCAATTAAAATAGCAGTAAAGCAATATAAAATCTTCTGTCCCTTCTTTCAGTCCTTCCTCCATGACTCAAATGAGAATAACCCTTTCTAAAGAACTAATCCACCATTATGATGAGGTCCAGATAGGAAAGTAAAGAAAAATCAAAATTAAAAGTTTTTGATAATATTTATGCTCAGAATTTGTTATTTGATACTACTCCTTAATAAAGGCAGTTAGGGTTTCTTAGGGAAATGGATGAGCCCATGAAACCTTGCCATGCCAGGAAACAAGGAAAACTTTCAAGTATCCATGGGATAATCCAGTAGGTAAAACATTCAATGGAGGATAGGTAAAACAAGACTGAAAAAATATTTATAATTGCAGAAGCTGAAAGTAGGTATGACAGAGATTCACTGTATTACTCTCTATACTTACATAATACACTTTTTAAAATTTACACTTTTATGTTGAAATGTTTCCTTAATTAAAAAACACAGCAAAAGAGACATAGGACAGGAATCAGTCTGAAGAATCCCCGTGCAAAGAGTTGTTGAGAATTACATTGATGCTGACTGATAAACACACTGAAATCAATATCAATTCATGAGTCTAAAATGGCAATGAAAAAGAAAGTCAGAAAGAAAATTTTGAGCATATTCTGATGCTTGATAAATATTCATAGCTAAGTGAAAGAATTCTTCTATCTTGCCACTGAAAGAAGAATCTATTTCAAAACAAGCCAGTTGCCCCACATGGTAAAGGTGAACCTCTATAATGAAGAGCTCAGTGGTCAAATTTAGTCTCATGAATGGTACCAATACTGTGTCTCTTGGTAAGTAAAAACAAAAGGTCCATTCCTTATCATATATCCCAAAGATGTTTAACTTAGATCTCTTAGTCCTTTAGATTTAACTTCTAGGGCCCTCCCTGGTGGTGCAAGGGGTTAAAGCGCAGCATTATGAAGCAATCCAGTCACTGCAGCATGAGTTCGATCATCAGTCAGGGAAGTGACCCACATGCTCACATGGCCCAGCAGACCTCTCCTGTCTCACCCACTACTCCCCTCAGCAGTGTATTTCATATGTCCACCTGTTCTGCTCCCTGCTCTGTCTCTGGGTAGTTCGCTCAGCCCCTGCATAATAAATGAGTAATAAATCTTTTTTTTT